AAATATATAAATTATATATATATATATATATATTTTAATAGTTAATCACATATACATTAACGGACAACTAATCAGATCTGTCAATAGTGTTATGTTATTTGTTCATTTAATTAAATTAAAATTTAAAAAAAAAATACTATTAACATATTTAATTAGTTGTTAGTATAAAAAATTTTACATTGACAATATATAAGTGATTAACTCATTTTTTTTAATTGTATCAGTCAAAATTTGTTTATTTCTAATACTTAGTGTATCGAGATCACTGCATTTTACTCTTTGAATGAGAGAAAAGTATATAAAATTAGTATTTTAGGTTCTATATGTATGGAATAAATATTTATTTTAAAATTAAAATATTTCTTATTTTTGATAGTTATTTTTGAAAAGATACATTATGATCTTTTAACTTTATGATTTTTGAGTTAAAGTTGTTTAATCCAACCGTTTTTTTTTTTTTAATTTATCTTGGGTGTAGTTCAAAATAATGTTAATTGATTTAAGATGTGAAAATTTTTCTACTAAATTAACAATGTAAAATATAAGAAATTTAATTATTGTTTGAACCATAATAAAAATTACATAAAAAATAGTATTTTAAGTAATTATAAAATAATTGAAATTAAAGTTTATTATTTTTCAAGTACTTATTTTTGAAACTCATTTTTTATGTGATTTTAAATATGTTTATTATTATTTTTAGTTAAATTTTATAATTTTCAGATAAGTAAAACTAATACAAAAATATTTTTTTTTAACTCATAAATTATATTTTAAATTTATTTTAAACATTTTGTATTATAATATAAAATTATTTTTAAAATTGATATTTTTAAAAAAAATATATTGTAATTTAAAAAGAAATATAAAAATAACGCTTAAAAAATATACAAGAAGTTTAATAAAATTCTTAAAAATAATCATTATAAAAAAATATCTTTAAAATGTAATCATTCAATATACGTTTCTAATTTATAGAAAGAGGATAATAGTAGATTTATTATTAATTTAAAATAATTTAAGTCTCTCTCAATTGATAGATATAAACATATACAAATAAATTTTTTTTTTCATTTATATGTTTTTTTTAATATTTTTTATGGCCTACACAAAATTAAATTAAAAATAAATATATCTTACATGTAGGGATGGAAATAGGTCAGATCTTAAATAGAGGATTTATGACATGATCTCTTTAAAGTCTAATCTGTCTTAATCTATTTAATATAAAGGTCAAAGTTTAGGTTTAAAAAAAAACTTATTTATTTAAAAAGGTCAGGTTTAATTTTATCAAAAAGTCTATTAGACTTGATAGGTGAGTCTATTTATCTATATAATATAATAAAAAAATTGATATACATATATTATTAACAATATAATTATATAAATAAACAAATAATTTTATAAAGAAAAAATTAAATTATCAATATTTTTTATTACACCATGAACATTTTATGTACCCTATTCATAGAAAATCAAAAATTCACAAATAGAAACCTTAGCCACATTTTTGTTCGCTCTCTCCCTTCATCTTCATGGTCATCAGTTCACTAATTATCTCCATATTTTATTTGTGAATTGTGATTTCAACTTCAACCTTCAATCCTTCATTCATTTTGTGACTTTGTAAATTGCAATTCACCTCTAATTCTTCATCGACATCATCTTCCATCTTCAACATTTATATTTGATAGTCATGAATCAACTCATACAAAAACAATCATCTACAAGTCTACAATTTTGCATTTTTTCTCTCGGAGGTAACTTTGTCCATCTTTTTCTTTTTGTATGTTTTTTATATTTTTGGTAATTAGATGTTTCCCATTGATATAATTTTCTTTTAGTTAAGATTCAACATTTCTTTTTATATTAAAGATTTGAATTCATGTTTATAGTCATGATTATATTATTTTTTTAGTGTCATGGGATGACTTCACTATTTTAGAACTATAAAGGAGTTGCATCTATTTTTCCAACTGCCAATGGACTAAATGCTTTAATAGTCACACAATCCTGTCCATCAGTGTTGGTACCCCTTGTACCCAGTGTATTATATAAATATATATGCTTTTCTGTTCAAAAAAAAAATACACATGAACCAATACCAACAAATTCAAGTCAAGTGGAAAATGATATTGCACAACAGAGTGAGAAAGATTGGGAAAGTGATATTGTTGTGATTAAGAGGAAAAGGAAAAAAAAATTTTAGTCGTTTGAATTGATTTTGATGAAATTGAAATTAGTAAAGGCATAAAAAAAGTTGTTTGTAAATATTGCAAATGTAGATTTTCAACCGATGGGATAGGGGTTAGCACTAGCCCTATGAAACAACATATTGAGAATTGCTTGCAAAAAATGACACATATGACTGCAAAAAGAAGCAATATGTCATTTCATTTCAGTTAAAGAAAAAGTCAAAGGTAAAAGTTTATTATTTTTACATGAATTTTTGCTTATATTTAATAAAATAGTTATTTTTAATATATTTTCTAATTTACTATTTTTTTTTTAATTTTGAAGGTGGATGAAGGACATGAAGAGAACACCTTGAAGATTTAACAAGTTTAGTGTTGTTTGATACATTTTTTTTTATTGTCATATTATAATTGTGTTGACTTTTAAATTATTGTTTTTGGTAGTATTAAACTGTTAGTACTGCTTCTATTGAATTACTTTTACATTATTGTTTTTGATATTAGTATTAATAGGAGTGTATTGAATACTTGTGTCATCTCTTTAAATTACTAAAGTTTGTTATAATTGAACAAATAATATGAATGTGTATCATCATAACTATTTTTATTTTTAAAATAGAAGTTAGTTATTGAAAATATGTCAAATGAGATAATTGAAATAATTATTTTTTTAATAAGATTAACTTCTTTCATAACTTGTACGTGAGTGTCCATTAGTATATATGGATGTACATGAATTGTCTTTTAACAGAAAATAATATCATTTATTTCTTTTTTGTGAGATTGTATATGTATTTGGTACTCTTGAGACCGCCTAATGTACAATAAGTATTTTTTTAGTTTATAAATTATTATCATAATTATTTTAGTTTATTAAAATATGAGTTGGTTATTTAGATTATATTAAATTAGATATAAGAAATATTTAAAACATTTTTTATACAATTATTCTTTTTTATTATAGATTAAGATTACAATTTGTGCGTGAGTGTATACCAATATAAATGATTACACATGAATTATCTATAACAGAAAAAGATTCACTTTTTTTTCTCTTTATGACATTATTTAAATTTCAAAATTTAAGTTTTAATAATATTGAGTAAATTATATTTTATCACGTAAACTAAAAAATAATTCGTAATGACGTTCTTAAAAATAAATTTTTTAATTTTTAAAAATTAAGTTTATTAATTTATTTAACATTATTAATGTAAAATTTATTTTTAAATAGATTAATAAGTCAGATCAGACCTATAAACAAATTTAAGATAAATAATAAATTAGACTTAAACTTTAATTTTGTAGAACATATCTAATTTATATATTCAAAATTTGACATGTTCTAACCTATTTCCAGCCCTACTCACACATGGTTTAGATATTTATTTTAGTATTTTTGTTTTCAAAATATTAAGAGGGGAGTTGATTCGACGTGAGACGGACCCATGCTTTATAATGTGGAAATATTTAGAGTTAATTACTTATACACTACTAATGTAAAGTTTTTTTACACTAGTAACCAATTATATTTTTTAATTGTGTCATGTCACTGTAAACACATTTACTTTTAACAGTGACATTACATAATTAAAAGATATAATTGATTACACTGGTAGTGTATAAGTGATTAACTCAAATACTTATCCCTAGTTAATTTCAAAATATTTTATTACTAATATAATATTGAGTTTATGTTTAAACTATATTGTCCATCATGTAAATAACTTCAGCATTATTTTTCCATGTAAAATAAGAAATATCATTTTATTTTGAATACCCAGATTTTTTGAATCCGTATGTGGCTTATGTGTTAACACTAGTCGAATCAAAAAAATCTTTTCACTCAAATTTGTTTCCTCCTTTTTAAACTTATTTGAAAGGAACAAACTATGAAAACGAAATATGTAGGGATTTCCTTATTGCTGTGTATGAAATTGTGAGAGGAAAGCATTGACTAGCATCATGGGGTTAGTTGTTTGGAAAAGTCTTAATAACTTGAAAAAAAATCTTATTCATTTTAAGCATTCTTGAAAAGAAAATTATAAAAAGAAAAAAAATTAGGGATATTCTTTATTGTTTATCCGTTGGTATTGAGTTTATTGAATGACTATTGGCTACTTCTCAAAACGAGTAGGGACTTGTGATTTTCTCTCAAAAAGTAGGATAAGGTTCTAGCTTGTTTTGAACTACGAGGATAACAACGTATTTTTTTAAATACGTTATTTTTAATATAATCTCTTTTATTACTATTTGAAAATATAATACAAATAATCAGAATTAGTCTAATAAAAAATTGAAATACTATTTTAGATTCAGTAATATAAATATTTTTTTTTCCTTTTTAACATATTATCTTATACACATTTTTATTATTATTAAAAATTACAAAATCATACAAAATAGTATTAATTAAGAAGTGGGATTTACAAAAAATAAATAAATTTTAATAAATTTTAATCAATTATAAAAAAAGGTATACCAGATAATATGTTGCAAAACATTTATTATTTGGCATTTTTCTGTGGCTTCAGTTTTCTATAAGGGGCCTTTTTATCTTTACTTAGCATTTCACGTTTTTCTTGTTTACACTTTAAGCTTTGGTTCCTAATTCATGTGATGAGGTCACTTCCTTTTTTTTTCTCACGTAAAAGCTTTTTTTTTATAATTAATTTCATATCAACAGAATCGTATGTCAGCAAAAGAAACTTGCACAAAATAATGAAAGGATATTAGCTTTGAGATTCACAAACAACCAATATCAATGAAGTGTGCTTATATCAACATATTACATATCTCATTACAATAATTTTTTTTCTTCTCATATTGAATTTCTTTTTATTCATAAAAAACATGTTCCAATTTAGCACAATGTGAATTACAATATTTTTTATATAAAAATCTTATTTTAATAAAGTAAACTGCTGCTCAAATATTAATTGGCACACCCCCACAAAATAAATAGATAATGAATAAAAATTATTACGATGTCCTTTGAACATTTGACAGAGTATACTTTGGTACCATAATTGATCACGTAACCTATTGTAGTATAATCTCTTCAACTTCTAAACCAATATGATATGCTATATATATATATGGGAAATGTCCTTGTTAGTCAACTTAATTAATTAAATATTGTTGCACCATAAATAACATAATTAAGTTAGTCACGGGTCCTTGGCATTCAATGAAAGTTGTGTATTAACAATAGAGAGCCCAAGTTTTTAACTGAAAATGTTAATAATAATATTTTGCAACATGTATTAGAAATTTAGGAGGCCATCTAATTGTATTTTATTTTGACGGAAAAGATTAGACCAACCCCATTGTTGAACATTGTCATCAATTGGTTGAGTTTAAATTTTGCTTATGGCATATATAAATTGGTAAATGATATGTGAGTATCACTTTAAATGGATGTTCTTAATAAATGGAACGAAATGTAAAAGAAAAATAAAATAATAATGAACTGATTTATCTGTGGGAATCATGATATATACACCTCCTTTTTTTTCTTTCTTTTTTTATAAAAACACTCCCTTCTTTTTAAAAAATAATAATTAAATTCTTAAAATATTTTTAATTTTTTTTAATTTTTTAATTTTACACTCCTAACATTTAATTTAACACTTTTTTTTACATACTTTTTCCCTTATTTTCACATGCACTCTCTTAATTTTTCTTCACCTCCACCTTTGGTAAGTAATTTTAATTCTTTTAGTTTTACATTATTTTTTTCCCTTTCTCTTTCAGTTTTCTCACTGATTTCACTATTTACATAGTACTCTAGAATAGTGAAAATGTATTTTTCATAACACTAAATTTAATGTTAAGGTTTTTGGAGGGGTGAAAGGAAAGGAAGTGTTGAAAGAAAAAATGTGTGTCTAGTTTTGATAGAAACTGTCGAAGAAGCTACATGTACCTACAATATTGTCACCTACCAGCTCTATGATCTGGGTGTATGTAAAAAAGTGAAAGAGGTGAGAAAATAAGAGATTAATATAAAAGTCGAGAGAACTTAAACTACCTACTGAAATAAATTAAAATTTAGAAGAAGACAAAATGGTGCATGTGAAAATTGGAAAAGATAAAGGAGGTATGTAAAAAGAAAAAATAGTAAATTGAAAATTAGAAATGTAAAATTAAAAATTTAAAGAATAAAAAATTTATAAATATTTTAAAAAAAAATTTAAAAAAATAAATGAGGTGTATATACATTAGCCTTATTAGGATGAACCAGTTCGGGCCATTCAATAAAATGGGCTGATTGGAAACAATTATAATGGCCCATATCAATGTACAAAAAAAAATAGGCTGAAATTGATTAAACTGTATAAAACACTAAAACTAATCAAGTTATTTATAAGAAAAAAAACATTTAAATTTTTAAGACTAAAATATAAGTAAATTTTAATCAAATCAATTTGTTTAATATTTTTATCCAAAAATACTCCTAAAATAATAAATAAGAGCAGTACTTACAATAGATACAGTTATTTTAAGAAATGTAGTGTATATTTTATGTAAAATTATCAAAATTAAATGTATTTAATTAACATTTTAATTTATATGAAATTTAGTTTTTTTTAATTTATGTACAAGTCCTGAGGAAATAATTTATACATTGGCTGATTGGAAACAATTATACATGGCCAATATCAATGTACCAACAAAACAGGCCGAAATTGATTTAATTGTATAAAACATTGAAACTTATCAAAACTCCCACTCGATTTATATAAGAAAAAAATATTTAAATTTTTGAGAAAATTTGAATCAAATCAATTTCATTTTAATATTTTTTGTTTATATATAAATACCATTAAAATAATAAATGAGAATACTTACAATAGATATGGTTAAGGATATTTAAAGAAGTAATGTATTTTTTGTGTGAAATCATAAAATCTATACATTTAATTAAAATTTTTAATCTGTATGAATTTTTTTTATATATTTTTTAATTTATTCGTATATATCAACAAACTTTACATAATTAAGCAGTCTTACCTTAAAAAATTGTATCAATATTCATTGATCCAATTAGTGTTACAAATTTCAAGATCTCAAATTTGAGTCATGAGTTTAATAAAAAATAAATAAAAAAAACAAAGCAATGATAAAAAAAAATAATATTAGGATTTAGGATGTCACAATTGCATATCACCCATTAATTAGAAGCTGATACAAAACTAGTCCTCAGAATTATATAAGAGCCGCTGGTATTTTCAAATAATTCAATCTAGGTCCAGGTGTTTTACCCAAAGTCTTAAGAGAATGATTTCCTATAAAATATTTCTTCCTTTATATACAGTTTAATGTATAATGTGATTAATAATTTCAAACATACAATCTGAAGAAAAAAAATCGTAGTAATAGTATGGTTACATAATTACATTCAATGTTGCCCAAAGAAAGAAAGAAAGAAAGAATTCGCAACTAGGCTATGCACAATTCCCTCTTCAATCAGAACTTGATCCAACAATTTTTGGCGACCATCTTCTAACATTCTTCAACTTGCAATACCTTGATCCACTGTGACAAAAACATTTGCAGCCACAGCCTCATCTGTTTCAATCAGAACTCGATTGTTAGACACATTTCTGAGAGCATGATTTGGGAAGGTGTTGCCGTTGGCACTTAAAGAATACATAACATGTTTGATAAGGTTAGGGAAAAGCAAAACTTTGCTAAAATCAGCTGTCCATGAGGTTCCATTCCCATGCATAGACATCTTTGCAGCTGTGGCCTTTAAGTTCATGCCCTTCACAACATTTCTAGCAACAAAAATTTGATCAATTTGATTAAAAGCACTATTTGATTGGTCCAACTTGACTATATCAATCCCATGGTTTAACCCAGAGAACATGTTGTCAACAATGTTGAGACCATTTACAACCCCTTTGACTGATTTCAGCACAATATTGGCATCACCAAGGAAGAAACTGCTAGAGATATGAAGGTGAACAGGGTCTTCAGCAACAATATTGGTGTAATCCATGTAGGAATTCACAATCCTAGTTTGTGTCAAACCAGGAAGTTTCAGATAAATACCAGTGCCTCCAAAGCCTGAGGCCTTATTGTAGCAATGTACTCCAGAAATAGTGTTGGCTTGGCCAGTTACCATTATTCCTATGGCAGCAGAGAAAATCACAACATCTGTGACTGCATTGTCATTACCCTGAAGGCTTATTCCAGTGCCTGAGAAGCTCTTTTCATTTTTGTCTCCTCCAGCAGTGATGTGCTGGCCAAGGAAGGAGTTCCTGATGTAGGTTTCATGGCCACCTTGGACTAAAATTCCAGTGGTGGTGAAATGTGTAATGTAACAATTGTCTATGTTGATTCTAAGGGAGTTTTTTACTGAAATGCCCCCTCCCTTGAAGTTGGAATCCAACAAGAGGTCCTTGAAAGTTATGTACTCATAATCGTAGGATTTGCTTTCTCCTGAGGTTGACAAGCCTATGAGGTGTCTATCAGATGGAAAATTATTTGAGGCTCTTATAGTTCCCCCGTGTATCTGTTAACATCAAATTAGAAATAAAATCAAATTAAGCTGTCAAATTTTTGGTCTCTTGGGATGACCAAAACTTCATTTATGCCTTGATTTGCTGCAACTTTGTGTTATAGGAATTGGTGAAATTTGAAAAGTCTTTTGTTGAGAAAAGAACAAAAAAACATTGACAGAAAAGGAGAAAAGTTGGAAAAGAATTTTTTACTTTTACAATATTAAATGAGTATAGTCATTCATAAAAACATTTTTTTCTATTTCAAGTTTGACCAAAACCAAACTTAATAAACGTGGATATTTTGTCATGTTCTAGATTAATGTTCCAGTCATTTACTAAAAGATTATACCGAGTCAAGTTTCTATTCCTCAGTCATTGTAACAAAATTTTATATTTTTTAACCAATCAAAATTTATTACTGATATGCTTTAATTTTAAAAAAGTTAATGTAAAAGTCAATAAATTTATGATATTCCCACATGACAATTTGTAATTAAATGATAGTATAATTTGTTTTACTCTGTCAATGCATTACTAATTTACTATTATAAAAGTTGTCTTTCATACCATGAGGTTTCCAACCCCGGCTTGTGGCAACTTCAGTGGTTGGCTAATTACGTAGTTTCCACCCTCAAGATTAATCTGAGCACCTCCAAGGTCTTTGATGTCCTTCATTAAGAACCCTTCACTTGTACCTTTGGCTGCATCAGCCATGGCTGCAAGAAGAGCTTCAGTACTGTCTGAATTGCCTGTTGGATCTGCACCATAAGATGTCACTAGGTACACGTGTGGTTTCTTGAGATCCTGCATTATCAAAAAAGAAAATTAACTAAAAAACATTGGTTATTTTCCCATAGAAAATGAATGAATTGTTGGAAACATAGGAGGAGTTAAGCATCGGGAGAACTCTATTAACAGATCATGAGCAAACCACACAAATGAATTTTATACCACATCTTAACTCAAAACCTCCAAGTATAAAGTTTATGAGTCTTTCTCACTTATATACTAATAAACATATTCAACTCTATCCAATGGGAGATTCTCATTGACACTTGCATACCAACATGAATTACCTGTGATGGCAGAGGAGAAGGACTAGGAGAGGGTGAGTATGAAGGTGGTGTTGAAGTAATGGAGTCACGTCTAGTAATGGAGGCCTTGAATGCTTTAAGTCCAAGCATTACTTCTTGATGAGCGCCACTATAAAGAGTCTCTAGAGGCATGTTCACCCCATAAGCATGAGTCACAAAGAAACCAGTTACCCCAAGAATTATGAACCACATTGGAGATATTGTTTCCATTGGTGAGCTTTTCAGAGTAAATCAGGTTAGGGAGATGCAGTTATGAAAGGGGCTTTGGTTGTGACGCATATAAATAAGAGGGAAAAGTGGAGGGGGTTAAGTAAGACTTTATATGGAAATATTTGGTGACATTTTCGTATTGAATCATACACATGATGCTTACATCAATTGGACAATGATGTTAGTGTTAGTTTGAAGGTTCCTCTTTAAACTTTTCCTGTGTTTCATTTTCCTCTGACGTGACACAAAAGTAAGCAGTTAACAAATTTAGGGAGCTTTAAAAGTTTGACATGGTGTGGAAAGTATTTTTATTTAACAATGAGTTTAGGTAAGTTAGGTATCATGAACTCGCCATCATCATGACATGTCTCAAAATTTTAAGGGCGTTGGTAAAGGTACTGACAAATGTACCAGAAGAGATCCTCTCATTTACAGTAAAATGTAAAAAGGATTTTGGAATAGGAAGAAAACTAGCACTTTGATGATTTAACATTAGCAGAAAGGGTCCACCATTTATGTCCTTCAATCAGGAAATTTATTTGATGGAGAAGTTAGTCCTGCATAACATCATATATCATTATTATTATCTATATAAATATGACTCATTATTATTATCTATATTAATCTTTAATTATCAATTTTAAAATATTATAAAACTATGCTTAGTTATTAGTATTATCAAATTATTGATCATCACACTGATTATTAATTATATATATAAATATGATTTTTTTTATCATGATTAACTTTACAAGTGTTTAAGTGTAAATAAATATACAATCAATAATGAAATGAGGTTAATGAAATATTTAATAGTGATTAAACTTTGCATCACAAGTAATTAATAATACTTAATAATGTTAAAACTAATTGAAATCTCAAATAGTGATTAATATTGGCTCACAAATAGGTAATATTAACTAAATGAATAATTATCTATATTAATATATAAAAGGAATATCCTTCTCAATAACTACCTTAGTTTTCACATTTTTTAATTATTATACACTTTTTAAAAAAAATTTAAAAAATATATTTTTAAATCAAATTTAAGAACTTAAAATTAATAATTCAATCATAATATTAATTAGATTAATATACTTTTATTATTTAATAGAGACACAAAGTATCTCGATCTCACTAGAATATATAATATATATTAATATTAAGCATTTATGAAATGAAATTAACTATATTTATTAACGTAGTTAATCTTTTGTTTGAGTGGATGTCAGCTGGAGATATTTTATGGTGTGCATATCTCTCTCCATGGAGATAAATTGAATCAATAGATATATCTATTTTCACTTTTATTCTCTTTTATTTTTATCTTTAAATATTATCTTGATTTTATTAATAATAAAAATAATTTTATATTATAATTTAAATTATTCATTATAAATTTAAAAATATAAATTATCTTTTCAAATATATTTATTTATTATGAATTTTAATTATGATATGATTTACATATTAAAAAATATTTGTTGATCAAAAAGTATATTAAAAAATATGTTTTGTGAAACTTTATTATATAAAAATAAAATTTTATGCTAGATAATACACAAGCTAACGTTAAAAATCATATTTAAATTTATTTTAATTGATTGAAAATACAATTTTTTTTTTTTGCATCGATGGTAAAATTAAACTCGTAATATGTATTTGAATTTGAATTCTTCCCAAAACTCTCTCTTTCCCCTTCCTTATAAAAGAAAAAACAATTTTTGGGAAAATATGGTGATTTGTGTGTCTTTATGTAAGCCTTGCATGAATATATTTTTTATGATCTGAAAAATAACATGAACTTAAATTTATATAACCTTAAGACAGTTAAAATGGGTTTAGAGAGAGCACAGAATAGATTGCTGTCCCAAAATTTAGAGGATGGTTGCAGAAAAGTTGAATCATGTTCTTGGTACCTTTCAATTAAGAGACAAGTGATATAGGAAGAAACGTGGGGCAAGCACGTACTAAATAATTGAGACACAAATTTGGCGGTATCAGCAAATAATTTTCATGTCGATTGTCGAGTTTCAACCACAAAAGCTTACGCCAATTGTTACGCCTTTTTGTCTCATAATTTTATTTTATTTTGCTACAGTGTCTCATATTGTGTCCAGGTATTTATCATTCAATTCAGTAATAACCATTGAATTCAAAACATATTTTCATATTAGTCTATAAAATTAAAATAAAATGGTCTAATAGATCTTTAAAATATTAAATAAATTTTTAAATTTAGTTTAATCTTTAAATATATATTAATATTATCACTCTAATTACATTTTTTCCTTTAAATTTTGGACTAATATATAATTATGAATTTGCATTTTTATAAATATATTTAATTATTTCTTAATTTTTTAGACTAATATGATATTCTAAATTTGTGGACTAATTTAAATGTTAAGTTATTCAATTTAAAAATTTTCTAATTTTATATGTCTAGATATTCGTTATTAAATTTTAAATTTTATATTAAATTTTTATTTTATAAAGTGATGTTTTATATATATGGATCAATTTTTTTTTTATAGGAAATATTATAATTTGATTTTTAGGCCAAGTATACATTGAATCATTAAGGTTAGCTTAAAAAGACGAAATTGTAGTAATAATCATAAGTTCAAATATTTTAGTTATTTTTATAATACTTTTTACATATAAAGAAGCAAGTACACATTGTATTCTTGAATTGTCTTCACATGTCAACTTATTTATTAATATGATGTGATAATAAAGTATATTTTTAGTTAGATGTTTGTTTAAATATTTTATATTTGATAGTATATGCAAATCAAAATCAAAAGTGGTAATTTAAGTTGTTTAACACGTATAATTTAAAAAAACACGTATTATTTTTTAAAGGATTTGATCCACATTTTAGACATAAAATCAAAATTATCAAAGTCTAATAAGTCGCTGCAGTACTACTAAATAACTACTACATAACGGAAGATTAAGCAATAGGGATTAAAATTAGAGTTTATTATATAACTACTGACTAGTAATAAATATATACATACTATTACAACACTAATTGCAAAATAAACTTCAATGTCAGTGGACATCTATACAATACACAACCACATCAAAGTAGTTATCAACAAAAAAAAATATAGTCATCTCGAACATGACTAGCCTCCAATTGCATGCTAATTTTGTTCTCCTCTCATATCAAATATGACCATTACAGTTTCAATCATAAGGAAAACACACAAAAAGTTTGTGAAAAGAATTCAACATAACAACTTATGAAAACATCATCATATTGAAACATTTCAACTTATAACAATACAACATCGTCATCAAACCAACTTAACATCTCAAAACATGTTCACAACATCAACATATATACATATACATCATCTGATGTGTCATCATGCATATCAACTATGAAGATCTCCTACATCTTATGGTGAGTAGTTTAAATGATTTGATCATATCTAATCACAACGACTAGTATAATACTAGAAACAACAATTGACATTAAGGCTAAAAATAACAGCTAGCATTAGGCTAGAAACAACGACTAACATAAGCTAGATTAATTTCTTAAGTTTTTTCATTTAAACAAAGAAGTATAATACTACGTCAAGATATAATAGTTTGGGTATGGACCTACCACGACATTAGTTTACAACACTAGAACACCTATGGGATTAATCTACCAACTATCTTTCAAATACCACAACCCTCTAATACTAGGTTAGAGACTAAGTCATTGACCCGATACTTTACTTTGTTTTAGTTGCTTTATACACGTGTATCTCGACTTTACCCATACACGCATACCACATAGAACCTAGAGGAGACAATTGAAAAATAATTTACTTATTCAGAGGCCAACTTACCTATTGAGGGGTTTCAATTAGACTTTTGAAACAGTACAACATATATTCGCACAATGGGATATTAAGTTTGAAAAGATCTTTGACTCTCCTCTAAGTTCTATGATCGTAACTAAGATATGTATCTAACCCACATATTTGTAGCCTATCAACTTAACAACTTTATGATTTTTCAACATACAACTTATCAACTTTCAACTTTACAACATATTAACTTAAACAACGTAAACATCACACATCTTTGCAACATTCACAATCTTAAATAAACACTATCAGAAATCAACTTGAGAAAACATAAAATAGCTCCCAACTTCAGATAATATTCTACTTACTACATCATCATAAATCAACTACCAAACAACTTAATAATCAACTTTACATTATACCACTTAGTCATCATAAATCAACTGTAAATCAACATTAAATAACAATTTCTCATAAGGAAACTCATATGCTTGGCGCCACTCATTGGGTGTTTGATGTCACTAAGGCAGGGAGTTCCATGTCTCGTCCATGCCCAGCGTCATATCACTCGTGCTTAACGTGATTGAGGTAAAGAGTATCCTATACTACCGCACCTAGTGTGGAAACATCCATGCTTGACCCTAATTAGACGAAAAGCTCTCTGTCCAACTCACACCTAGTGCCAGACACTCTAGTGCCTGGTGTGAACCTAGGCAAAGATGTGTCTCTCTTCTCACATTCAGCGCAATTCAACCTATGTCTGGCGTAATCCCAACCTGAAACAAATATCTTTCCTCACATCCTATGCCACCAATCTTTCGTCCAACGTGAATGAGATAGATGCCTTTCTTTAGAACCACGCTCAACACCTTGAAGGTACGCCTGGTGCGATATTAGATTTTACACTTGTGCACAACCAAATTTTCGCCCAATTGCCTAAAAATTAGTGAATTCCCACAACATGGAACACAATAAACAACATTTATACAACATAATTTTCATCATCAAAAATAACATGCAACTGTAATCAATCCAGAATCAAGCATGAGCCTCCATGAACACCCTTGAACAACAACCCACAAAACCCTCTTAACTTTATCATTCAATCTCTCAACACCGTAAATTAATTCATTCAAATCATCACAACCAGATAATGCACTCTTAAATTCGAAATCACAGCTTCCTTTATCTCTTAGAGACTCAAATCCACAAAAGGAGAAGAGAAAGAACTTCATATGACTCTGACTTTCACAAGCTCGAATTCCAGCCAACAACTAACTAGGATCAACCGAGGAAAAGGTAGAAAAGGGAATGATCAAGTGAGGAAGAAGAAGAACGGAGAAGGAGGAGAGAATCTCTCTCTAGCTTTTCTCTAGAATTCTTGGAAACTCA